CCCAAGCAGGTATGTCTGTGGGGGGAGGGGAAAGGGCCCCACTCACCCCAGCCCTGGCTGCAGCGGCCCTGGGAGCAGCTGGTGCCAGCTGCCTGCAGCCCCTGGGCTGCACCATGCTCTGCCTGTCCCCCTGCACCTGGGCTCACCCCAGCTTCTGGGCTGCACTGTTGTGGTGCAAGCAGCTGGTGTCAGCTGTTCCCAGGACTGCTCCAGCACTGGCTGGGGTGAGTGTGGACAAGCAGAGCTCCAGGCAGCGTGGGGTGCAGCACTCACCCCAACACCAGCTGCTGGCACCACGGCACAGCGCAGCCCAGGAGCAGAGGTGGTGGGGACAGGTGGAGCACAGTGCAGCCCAGTGGCTGCAGGCGGCTGGCGCTGCAGCTGGGACTGAGGTGAGTGCCACTCTGTTTCCTCCACTTTGCTGCCTTGTGCAGCCCTGGGAGCAGCACCCCTCTCCTCTCCCCTTCCCTAATCCAAGCCTCATTCCATCCCTCCCTCACTACCATGGGAACCTATGCCTATTTGTTACATTGTACAGTGGGTTAGCTTTATGTGAATTTGATTTATGCGCCATTCTCCAGGAACACATGTACAGCATAAATCGAGGTAAACCTGTATACCTATTATAGTACATATATAATACATTATTATTTACTATTATATATTGTGGATGTGTGCTCCCAACACTTTGGGAGGATCCCCAAATGAAATCACAGAACCCAGGAAGAGCCATTGGAGCTGCTCACTGGGCAGAGGATGCCTCAGTGATGTCAGAAGAGCAGCAGGAGAATCGTGCACTGGCACCAACATACTTTAAGAGTGTGTGCTGGATGCATATGGGGGGCAGTCAGCTGCTTCTGGTTTGGCTGGAAGAAGCACACTGGTTTTAAATGAAAACCAGAAATCAAGGAGAGGGGGCTCGGCAAGACCAGCACAGGCAGCAGAGCTTGCACACCGTAGAAAGATGGCTTGAGTGCAGGCAAGCCAGGATGGACTGGCATAGTCCTGTACATCAGCCCACCAGAGAAGCCTGGCATTGGCAGTCGTTCCTGCATGCCGGGGAAGACCAGCAGGATCCCAGGAGCCACAAAGAAGGAAGTGGCTGGCTGGGAGAAAGAGAGTGGTCAGGCACAGGCACTCTGCCTCAGAGGAGAGACAGATGCCAACCAATTAAGTGCAGTCACCTGGATAGGTAACTGGCTCTAAAAGGGAACACTGGAGTAAAATCCTGCCTGAGACTTCTGGTGAAGAATATACAACTGGGAGTGGAGATCTGGTATTTGAGAGCATCATAGTGCGAGTCTGTCAATGAGACAATTCCCTTTCAAATATTGATAAGACTTTATTGAGTTGACTTGACAAAGCTAATGATTGACATTGAAGCTTGCGACCGCTGGGCTTCAGCTAGCTGCTCTCGGGCGACTCTGGTCTCTCAGAGGTTGTCCCACCTCTTCCGGGCTGGTTTGTCGCCGGGGTAGTTCTTCCCTCCTGCGTCACCAACCCTGTTCTCGCCTGCCTTGTCTTGGCGTTCCTCAGTAGGCGGGGTTAGTTAGCGGGTCCCTCCGTGGCCCGGGCTTGGCTCAACGGTTGCTCATGGGGCTCCGCCACCCCTACACCCCGGCCTCACGCCACCTTTGGTGTTCCACCTTGTTGTTATCTGTGGTCTTCCCCACAGACCATGTCCGCTGCTCTGCATCCCAAAGCCAATGGCAGGAGGCTCTGCTCGCCCCTGCGGTGCCTCACACCTTACTCCTTTCCCATGAGAAACCTTCTCCACTGCTGCCCCTACCAGGGCTTCCCTGTGAACCCCACCATGAAGGCACACCCCTATAGACTCTGTCCCCCTAGCTTGGGGTATTCTGAAACAACCAATGCACCTCCACCAACCCATCACCTATTCCCTGTCCCTGGCCCTTTAAAGGGGAGGAATGGCACTACACTCTATTTGTCGCTCCCCAGACCACCTCCGATCCCACACTCAATGTCCCAGGTCCCGGAGGCAATCCCCGCCCCGATTACCATCCCCTTCAGGGTTGTCCCTGTTTCTTCACCTCTCAGTGTGGCGTCCTCCAAGCCCGCCGTCCTGGCACTCACACCTGAATCCAGCGGCGCTCCCGGGACTGCTTCTGCTTTCCCTCACTCAGTCACACAGTCACTCCTTTGCTGATTGGGGGGCCTCGACGTGGTGCTCCCCTCCTCAGCCACCATTACCTCTGGCTTACTGGATTCCTCGGTGTCTGCCTGTGGAGCCCACTCTGCCGCCAGCATCGGCTGCAGCTTGGTCTCCTGGCTATCCACCCCCTCCGCAGCAGTGGCTGCCATTTTTAACTTCAGCTGTACAAAGAGGTGGCTAACAAGCCGTGTGGGTTCCTTCCTCCACTCCACATGTGCTCCATTCCAGGCTGCAGGTAAGTGACCTGCATTACTTTGCCTCCTGGGACAAACCTGTACAAAGGAATTCAAATTTCTTATAGAGTAACAAATGGTAGGTGAATGGATGGGGTAAAAGGGGAGGTAGGAGCCCCAGGAAAGCAGCCATTGATTGTAGCTGTGGATATCCACCTGGGAGAAGCCTCCCAATTTAAATAAATAAGATTCAAGTTGTGGTAGGTGAGAACAGAGGTTTTGCATGGAGGCATAGAGATCAAATCAAACACTGGCTGCCAGACAAGGTCCTGAAAGACGAATTCAGATCCTAGCTACCTTACACACATGCAGCTGATTGAGCACCCCATTACATATATGCTGTGTAATACACACACACACACACGCGCACACACACACACACACATAAAATGTACTATATTAATTGAATTTTTCTTAAGTATCTCCACCTACATATGAATCAAAGGAATTAAACTCTATGCGTGTACATCTTCATATGAAGAGTAAGGTACAATTACAGCATCTAGTTAGCGTGAATAATAATATTAGTGAAGTTGTGACACCATATGACACAGGACCCTCAGTATACATTTAGGTGGTTAATGGGTGCCGACATCAGTGCACCACCATGTCTTTATAGCTATCATTAGCTTAGGGTACATCCTTTAGCATAGGGTATAAATTGTACCTTTACTTGCAATATGGATGTACCCTATCTTATTTTTTTCAGCTAATAAACCTGCTGGTAAATAAATTTCAATATAACTTCTTGTCAAAATACTCCAGTAATTTAAAATCAAATGCAATATATCATTTTCAAAAAAAGCAGAAAGTGAAATTGTAACGTCTAACTTTTAGTCTTTGTTAAACAATGGGAAATTTAGACAAAAAATAGAATTATTGGAAGAGTAACAAAATTGTCAATAGGCATAAGAGTTTATAAATTTTGACAGATGCATTTGATTCCCTTTTTTATAATATACAATTACAGAATCTGAATATGAAAGATATTCAGTAAATGATATATACTTGCATTTTAGTTGATCATTTGGTACCATTTTACCGAAATATTAATTTACATTAGCCATGATAAGAATAGCATTATGTAAAGTGAGACTGATTACAAGACCATAATCAATGATTAAAAACAACAACAAGATAGTGAAAAGTCTGGGAAGAACAGAGTTCTTCAGGGATCTGTGAAAGATCTAATCTTATTTAATACTTCCGTTTACATACAAGGAATAAAAAGTAAGGTGTCTGTGAAATAATAGTTTGAATTTCCTTAAGTACAGGCAAAGTTCTTAAGTAACATACAAAATACAAGAAAAAGACTATTTTTGCTTAAAAGGGTTTAATGTTTAAAACACAAAGTCCAAATAAGAATATACTTGAGAAGCCCAAAGATGGTGTCCTAATATTTATTTTTATTAAATAAAAATGGCAAAAGCATTATGCATGTACATATTTGGAGGTTCTGTAGAAGTGTTTGGGGGCTTGGGATGGAATTTAAACAGGGACAGAATGAGGGTCTAGAATGACTGAGAAGAAGGACTATTTTAGAAATCTGGGCAGCTGATAAAAAGTTGTGATAAGAAAAGCGATGGAATGAAATATAGGGAGCTGAAATGCTGCAATGAACAGTGCAGTGAAAAGGGATGTGGCAAGAAAGAGGAGGAGAGATGTAGACAGGTGTGGTGTTAAGGATATGTCCAAACACAGGGCAAAAATCTATGCTATAGAAATATAATGTTAAAAGTCTGGTAAGGGAATGATTCTTTGTGACTAATGAGTAGGAAATGTAAACAGGAAAACAGAGAGACATCAAGAAGGAGATGATTGCAATAGTCAATGAGGGAAATAACCAGGACATGACCAAAGTCTTAACAGATGAGCCAGTAAACAGAAGACAGTTTGGAGAAATTGTATTTTTAATATAGAAGATAATGAAAACTTTAAAGTGAAAAAAATAAAAATGAGAAACCATGAATATCACTTTTCCTTGTAGTGTTTTATTTCATTTTACAACTTTTCAAGCTCTTTTTATGACACCCTCTTCTCTTAATTTGGAAAGCTACTGATACTCACCAGGGCACTTAATTAAGAGAATTTTACTGTATAAAATAGCTAAGCATTACAAAAAGACTGAAGTTTACATTAAGAAATGGACCCATTCTTTTTTTTTTTTTAAAGTCCTTCTTATTCTCATGCTCACTCTCTAAATGTTGAAATAAGAAAGCACAACATACATTGTAGATAAACAGGATAACAGACCAACTTGAAGTCTTGTCTTACACACAAGTAGTAATTCATGACCCAGGGGCTGAAAACATATCATTGGTGACCTTAACAAAAAACAGGGTTTGGGTTCTTTCAGGGGAAGATGAAGTTTTATTGTTGTTGTTTGTTCTTGTATACGGTTACTCATATTTTTATCGCAAGAGAAATTTTTCAGATAGAAATAGTATAAATAAATAGTCAGTTGCCTCAGGATATACACAGTTTGACTGATGTATCCAGCTATGTTTTATGCTGTATTTTGAAGCAGAGCCAGCATTTCTTAGAAACCTGAATTGTGTGCATCAGCCTGCTGGATAAAAGTGCCATATGGAATTAGCATAGTTTGTTGTCACCTGCAGTTTCAAGATGGCATAAAGACACATAATGTTAATTTGCCCCTTAAAAAATGAGCAAACAACATTAAGTGGTGCCAGTGTTTCCTTTAAGAAGCATCCTTTCAGTGGGTGCTATCTCATTGACATCATATACAAAAAACAAGGAAGAGTTATCACATACATTTCTAATTCAGATTTGTTATTCAAGGGCTAGACTATTTACAAAGCTTGCAATGGTGGGCCCCAAAGGAGGGATATCATTATTAACCTGTTTACATAAAAGATTCTCTTAGAATAATTAAATACCCATGGGACTTAGATATAATAATACCTATATTTACTGTTAATATTACTAAGTCTCTATGACAAGCACAAAGTAACAGAATCAAAAACATCCTAAGGGCAAAAGTGGGAGAGCTTTTCTGCATTCCCAGTGTGAACACACTTATTCTGCATTAAGGGATTTGTGAGCAGGACTTAAGGGGTTGGGGGTGCAGGTTGTGTTTTCCTCAATCCTTCCGGTTTTGGGCTACGGACTGAGGAGGCAGAGGAGGATCCAGGTAGTGAACCAAAGGCCGTGGCACTGGTGTCATGGGGAAGGCTTCAGCTTCCATGACCACAGTCCCCTCTTTGGTGAGAGACGCAGTCAGCTGCTAGGAACGGATGGCCTCCACCTTTCTCCGCTGGGGAGGAGGCTCTTCTCAACCAGACTGACTTACCTGTTCCACTGGGCTTTAAGCTAAGCCCACCGGGGGATGGGGGGGCTATCACCACTGCTGGCCCACTGAGCAACCATTGCAAAATGAGCAGGCCAAGGCACTTAAGGAAGCCTACCCATGACCCAGACCTAGAGCAATCTGCGGGCAAGGTAAGGGCCCCCAAGGGGACACTTGTCTGCCTGTACACCAATGCCAGGAGCTTGGGGAATAAATAGGAGGAACTTGTCCTCTTGCTCAACACAAATAATTACAATGTCATAGGGGTAACGGATACCTGGTGGGACTCCACCCATGACTGGACCATAGGTATACATGGCTATACCCTGTACAGGAGGGATCGTGTAGATAAAAGGGGCGGAGGTGTAGCTCTCTATGTCAAGGAGAACTATGCATCGTACAAGCTGACATCGGCACCCAGGGTGGATGTCTAGAGACCCTCTGGGTTAAAAATCTGTGGGGAACACAGCACAGGAGATACAATGTTGGGAGTCTACTACAGACCTCCCTCCCAGAATCAAGAGATTGACCAGGAGTTCGCCAGTGAGTTGGCTAAGGCTGCACACTCCCAGTCCATGGTTTTCATGGGAGACGTCAACTATGTGGACATCTCATGAGAAGCACACTTGGCCAAATCTGAACAGTCACAAAGCTTCCTCACATACGTGGATGAGCTCTATCTGACTCAAGAAGTCTATGGGCCAACAAGAGGCATGACCTGGTACTGGCAACTGGAGATGACCTAATCAGCAACCTAACGATCAAAGGGAAGCTGGGTGACAGCAACCACGAGCTGATCACCTTCGCCATCCACCAAAAAGCTGGCAAGTCAGTCAGCAGTACAGAGGTCCTCGACTTCAGGAGGGCTGACTTTGACAAGCTCAGGAGACTTGTTGGTGAGGTCCTAAGGGACCACAACCCCAAAGGGAGGGGAGTCCAGGAAGAGTGGTTGCTGCTCAACGGAGCGATGCTAGATGCACAAGCTAAAGCTATTTCATCTTGGAGGAAAGGCAGCAAAAGGGCACAGCAGCCCCCTGGCTCTCCTGTATCTAAAAAAGTG